AGGGTTTTCGGCATCTTGTGCTTACTTCCTTGCGTACCGATGACAGCTGCGTAAATTATGACTTAATTTACTTTCTGGTGCTTTCACTTCCAGAGGGGGGGAGGGAGGTGCGCGTACCGATCGTGCGATACGGTGGTGAAGAGCGTACCCAAAGTCCAACAGGCTCAGGCTAAACCAAAGGCCGCTCCAAGTAGTAGCTCGGGGTTAGCTGCTCTGCAACCAAGAAAAACGCCGAATGTAGGACACGACAGCCAAGGCCAACGTTACGTCAAGACCGCAATATCCAAGCGAGGATAACACTCAAGAGCAGGAACAGAAACAAAAAAATCCAGAAGTCAGTGCCAGTCTTGTTCCAGAGCAGTCAACGGACACAACCACACAAACAAGCAAACAAAAACAAGCAAGTCACCTCACGACGAGCTCGCGCACGGCGGGTTCTCGGCTGGTCCGAACAATCGTGGCGAACGGGCCAAGAAACACCCTCTGAAAGTTGAAGTCTCGCAACTCGTCCTGTCACACACAAGAGGCCAACAACGAGTTCCAGGGCAAAGCCAACGAATGTCGCGGGAAGTGTAGGTGAAGGGATAAACTTCTGTCGAGATCGCGGAGCTGCCCTCCGGGACTGGGGGCACAGGGTCGTTCAAAGTTAACAAGAGAGCGGCCGCGGCCTCTCGCACACACTTCGGTAGAAATGGAAGAAAAAGCATGGTTCTGGTTGGACGCCATGGCGTCACCGTCCACACCTTTCAACTCGACGACCCAACCCGTTGTCCGCGTCTCCCTATATACGTTCGTTTCCTTTATGACGTGCCTTTCGTCCAGCGGCGGGTCGGCATCGTCTCCGTCCCGTGCAGGGGCCTAAAAGCACGCCATGCTTGCTTGCGGTTTTTGTCCACGTCACACGAAAGCCTCTTCCTGACGCTCGACTAGACGTGCCCACGCATAACGGCGGTGTCTGGCCCGTGCAAAGGCAACACAAAATATAAAATACCTTGTCGAGGAACTTTAGGGCCAGCTGCCTGAGGCAGTCCACCGTGTACATCGCCACCGAGCTGTTGCCCGAGATGCTCCCGACCGTAGCGAAGTGGTCGGCCAGGATGCCCCACAGGCTCGCCCACTCGATGCGGCTCCTGATGTCCATGTTCAAGTGGGCCACCTGGCACGAGGACAGACAGACAGACAGACATAGAGAGAGCGAGAAAAGTGGCTGCTAGACGAGGGATAGCGTCACAAAACGTTGTTTGAGACCACGCCTCCCCTCTTCGAAAGCTACCATGGCCTTGAGACAGTTCCTGTCCGCTTCTGAGACGCCCTCTTCTCCTTGGAAACCCTTTGTCCCATGGAGAAACACCCCGGGTACGCAAATGCAATGCTTTCCTCTCCTCCGCCCGGGCGTTGGTTCAGCCACGCACCACTACGCTGTCAAGCTGACAAAATTGATTCTTGTACATGCATGTCTAAACAAGCTACAATAGAAACACAACGATTATTGTCTTGCAGCACCAGTCAGGTCAAAGTCGAAGTCCCCCATCCACAAAAAAACGAATCAAGGCGCGCTTTGTAGGTCGTGCTTCCAATTCTTACCTCCACGAGCTTCTGCATCGAAAACACCCGGGGCTTGGCAGCCCCCCCCTTCAAAACGCCTTCCTGCCGCTGGTAGTTCCCCAGAGTGCTCGCCCGGCGCCCGAATAGCTGCGGTATCTCCGACTGAGACACCTATGTATGCAAAGAAGAAGGAAAACAAGATAAGTGAAGAAAAAAACACGAAAAAAAAAAAAACGCACGAGGACCATTAGTCGTGTCGTCCAGGCGGTCGTACGGTGGGGAGGTTGCCCTCCAAACAAACAAGTTGATTTTCCCCGCTGCTTGCCCACGACCACATGCCCTTTACTCGTTGAGGATAGACAGGTGCTGTCGCTTTGCCCTCAAGAGGCTTTGGGGTTCCTTCCCGCATGCACTCGTGCATGATTAACCGGTGAAATCTTCTGTCTGAACGCAAGTCTACCAAAAACCAAGCAGGGCATGCGTGCCAAAAAACACAAGAAAAAAAATGAGTGTTCCTCGCCTGGATGAGCTGCTCGACGAAGTGCTGCATGGCCTCGCGGTTGAGGAGCTGCGTGGCGCTGAAGACTCTGTCGATCAAGGCCTGGTCAATCTGGGCCATCACGACCGTGGCGTTTGCTGCCGTTACAAGCAAGGAAGCAACCCGAAGGCGAGAGGGGGGAGGGGGGACGGGGCATCAAAACAGACCAATCCCAACAAGACCTTCACGAGCCGGGTCCGATACGTACGTAACCACAGGAGCCGTCACGCTGTCGCACGAGCACGCGGCACCACCTCTCGTTCTCTTTCTCTCGCGCGCATCTCGCCTGCCTCAACGACCCTCTCCTTCTCCTCCCTGGTGGGACCGATGAAGAAGCTGGCCAGCTCCCCCTTCGCGCTCTCCTTCTCCTTTCGTCGTCGGTCCTTCAGGAACGCGTCCCGCTCCTACAAGACGGTGTTGTCATGTCAAGGGTGAGAGGCTGTTGATGTCGTATTTAGTCTTGTTATGCACACAAAGTTGCCATTGCTCCTGTTACTCAGGTGTAAATGTTGCTGCTAATGGTGTCACGATGGTCAGGCTGTTGATGTCGTAGCCTTGTTGTGCTTGGTTGTCACACAGATTTTCGATTGATTGCTACTGTTGTCATGCTGTTATATGTTATATGTTAATGTTGCTTGCTGCTGGTGGTGTCTGGACGTCACAACGTTGGCGTTTTTCAGTGGTTCTCATATATATGCTGCTGAAAAACATATGTTGGAGTTGCTGCTGTTGTTGCCACGTGACCTTTGGCTTTGTCGTCGGCGATTTACTCCAGCCGTTATCAGGTGCGTTAAGTCAGCAGCAAAGATAGGCGAGTCCCACCCCCGCTTTCGTATCGGAGGGACAAACTGTTTTTTTTTTATCCGAGTGACACACCAACAACAACAACAACAACAACCGTGGGCACAACAAAAACCATAGCGAACGCTACCCGCTTGTTTGGGAGAAAATGCGCATGTGCCTTCAAAAATCGTTCCAGTTGAGAGAGCATGCGATTATCGATCTCTGCGTTCATGTAGGAAGTTACAGCTCCCGAAAGGACTGCGGAAAAAAAATCCGTACAAAAAACAAAATGGAGGACAATATATCGTACCGGAGTAGCTCAGTCGGTAGAGCGCAAGACTTTTAATCTTGTGGCCGAGGGTTCGAGCCCCTCCTTCGGTGAAAATTTCTTTTAATCCCGACCCCAAAATGTTCATCGGGGTAGGTTTTTCGCCGCTTGGTGACGAAACGATGTTGCAATCCACGCTGGTTGCTTCGCGAGATCGACAACCTGGTTACTGCTTATTTTTGCCTTCCCTTTTTTTTTTCTGCGGAAACAATAATGATAATGGTCAAGTGGACTATGTTGTGCGGTGTCGGGAACCCTCACTCCGCGCGAAGGAGATGATCGCACCACGTTGTGTGAAGTTGGTCAAGCACCCTCGACGCAGTTACACAGTTTCTCTGGAAGCGAAACCATCGGACAAAAAAACAAAGGTTAGCTATGCGTAGCTGTCATCCGTATGCACGGACGTACGTAAGCACACGACGCCGAACAACCTTTGCAGGATGCAGCGCACGAAGGGGCCCTCCATATGTAAATTATGGACACCCCCCTCGAAAGGTGTTTGCCATCGGGGTTGGGTTTTCGTCGCTTGGCAACGACGTTGTAAAACAAGCCAATTCACTTCGTGAACTCGGCAACCAGATTACCGTTGTTTTTTTTACCTCTGTTTTTTTTGGCGGTAACCGTAATGGTGGACGAGTAGATCATGTTGTGCGGGGTGGAGAAGCCTCACTCCGCGCAAGGGGGGATAATCGCACCACGTTGTGCTGAAATGGTAAGGCACCCTCGAGGCAGTTACCAGTG